AGATGGCTATAAGATAGCCATCCAATTTTCTAAGATAAGCAACAAAAAAAAAAAAAAAACCCTCCAATTTATACAAACATAGAGCTGAAAAGAAAGATCCAGATCCACCTTTCATAAACTGGCACCCACAACTGCCATGATCCCCAGGCAATGTGATGACGGATGGGAAAGAGTAGTTCAGATAATATTGGGAATGATGGCATTCCCTACTCACCCAAGTATGCCCCTTCCATCTCTTTCCGGACTGAGGGAGTTGTGATGAATCTTTCACCGTCAAAATCATTCTGCTGTTCTAGAATGCCCCCAGCCCAATTGTCAGCACCCACAGCACCTAGAATCACCCGATCCTGCAGTCAAAAAGATCTTGCTTTACAAAGGCAGGTCACCAGGAAGCAGAGATTACAATCTTATAGATGCTCATCTAGGAGTGTTACTCAGCCCTGATTTGCCCTTAAAAACAAAGGTTTTAGGGATGATGAATCTATACAATTGCCTCTGTTTCACTATGTTTCAACCAGAGTGGTGGGTGGATCACAATGACGGTTATGGCTTGATCAGTCCCAGACTGATCAATCCACAGAACTCCTTGCTGTTCATCCACTGGCTGCTTTTCCTGCTATTGAATAAGATAAGAATGTCTGCCTGGATAACTAATCATTTGCAAAGGAAGTCCCTTTGAAAAAGGCTTGGGAAACAAACACGGAGAAGGAGAAAGAGCAAGTGTGTCTGAGCTCACTCACACACCCTGGATCCATTCATTTGTTATAAATATACCTCAACCTTTTGTAATCAAACAAAAACCGTTTGGATGGAAGCAGGGAGGAGACCACCTAGCCTTGTGGTTTTGCAACTAGTGTAATGTTTGAAACTGTCAGAGGAAAAGGAAGAAGAGTAATATACAGCATTTCTAGCAAAGTATTTTGCTGCCATACCAACATGACAAATTAATTTCAGGAGGAATGGAAATGAAGAAGACCCTTTCCATACAGCTGCAGAGAAAATGGAAAGGTTGGGAAAAGCACTTTTTTTTTGCAGGGTAAAAAAAAGACCTCATTGGACCTCACTTCACAAATGGAGGAGTCTCCAAGAAAGGAGAAGCATTTGCCTTACTGGAGAAAACTCCTTTTTTGGGAATTAAAAAAA